ATATTTATTTACAGGTTACCTTTTCTTTATGTTGCCTTTGTAGATATTTGAGTGTACGGCCTAAGTAAAGGTGAGTGGTCACCGTCGTAATGCACCAAATTAAGAAGTTAATTATGTGTAATTAGAAAACTGGATGGTACGTAGCAAAAAAATTTAAAATAACAATGGAAATGCGGAACTAATACGGTACAATGCTGATAAACAAATAATTCAATTCCTCATAAAAAAAATTATGTCTTCAAGACAAAATTTAGAAGTGTTAAATCAGTTAAAAAAATAGAGGTAGCTATAGGGGTCTCTATGTACAAAAATTCAGGTCTGGTCAAATACATACAGGTATTCGCCCACGGGCTCTCGGGCTATTACGTCGTTAACAGTAGAATGTCAGCTTATTGAAACATATTTCATTAGTGAAACCTCAAATATAGTTACAGACTTTTTCTGAAGAAATTTGCTTAGTTAAAACCGTTTTTAGAATGTTCATTTCACGTCAGGTTCAGTCGTTCCTGCCTACGAAGTATTCGAGCGTCGGTGATTCTGAAAAGTAGACGCATTGAAGTATATATAAGGAATCTTCAACTAAATTTTCCAAAGTATCGAAATGTGTTTGATCGTAATTTAGAGTAAAATAATTCATTAAGAAAAAATATTTTAACACGCGCTCATGAATAACTTTAATGAACTTAAAGGGTAACTAGAGTTAAGACGCAAATTTATAATCACATTGTTGTTGTAAAATTGTGATTCAACTCGATTTTACAGATATTCTCTTTCAACATTTTGCTATACATCGTGCTACCATCCAATTTTCTATAAAGCAGCTTGTTGACTAGAACGTTTCTTTTCTTCATCATGGAACTAATAAACTTTAAAAATTACATGCTAATATAAAGCTTAAATGTAATTTTGAAAATGTCTACGCCTCGCGAAACCAATAACAATACTAAATAGCCATACTCCACTTTGACCAAAAATTCTGAAGTACTTGAAACGTCGGAAATTGTAATACTATATTATTAGATTATAAATAAGATAATATTAAGATGTTTTGTTTTGTAATTGTTTTGTTAAGATAGTTAATTCTTATACATATTTTAGTTAATAATATTAACTAGAGGTCCCGCAATAGTCGAAATTCGACTATAATTAATTGTAAATGTAAGTTTGTACACTATTATGATTGTATACTTCTATAATCACAAATTTCGCCAAGACCATACTATAAAAAATATTAACAAAGACAAACAATATTTAATCTCAATTTGACAACAGACGTCAAGAACAAAAGTTTGACAATAAATAGTATGCATGCGTGTGTGCGTCAAATACATGGTATGTAGTGTGTGTAATGTTTTCTTTATTGATTTAATGTATCTTTTATGCATTATTTTAAAGGAATATTAGCATTGTGCACTTCTTCTCTATATTCTCTATAAGTTTGGAAAATTTCATACTCCTCCGTCCGCGCAAATTTCGTAAAAAGGGATACAAAGTTTTTGCTTCACGTATTAATATATAGATAAGATTAACCCAAATTTGAATTAGTAGAGCTAGTTTTAATCAATACATTGTTTCGCTAGTACGTTTTAGCACAACACGCGACTAATAAATTAATTTAATACAAAATTTAATTTCTAATTGGTGTGTATTCATCTATTACTGAAGGATATCCCAAAGGTATAATTTCTGCGTGAGCTCTGCGTGTTAGTGGTACACTAACTTAATGTTTTTATGTATACAGTATGGTTTTCAGCTTATTTAGTAGTCAAATATTACGATAAGTGCATTTTTACCGCGCTACAGGGAGAGAGAGATTCATTACTGGTGGTAGGACCTCTTGTGAGCCCGCACGGGTAGGTACCACCACCCCGCCTATTTCTGCCGTGAAGCAGTAATGCGTTTCGGTTTGAAGGGTAGGGCAGCCGTTGTAACTATACTGAGACCTTAGAACTTATATCTCAAGGTGTGTGGCGCATTTACGTCGTAGATGTCTATGGGTTCCAGTAACCACTTAACACCAGGTGGGCTGTGAGCTCTTCCACACATCAAGGCAATAAAAAAAAAATCATTTATTTAACCCATTTCATTTATAAAATGTCTTGCTCAATTTGTGGTGGGTTGTTGGTTTGAAATTCACTCATTTTGTTCTGTGTCAAAACGGCTGGTTATCAGCGCCTTTTAATTTTAAACTAAGCTAGGATTTTATTAACGAATTTTGTAAACCATTCATTACTTTAATATGTATGAAGCAAAAAAAAAGCTATAAATAAAACAAAATATCAGTATGCGCAATAAACAAGGCATAATATCATTTGCAAGTAAACGATTAATTTTACTTCCGAACCGGAGGTGAGAGGTTTAATTCTAGTGTAATTTTATTTCTCAGCCGACTCCAATTTTAGTATTCATTAAAGCTCTTCATTTAATTTCGTGAAGAGAGGCTCCTTGATATCAGTCGACTATAGAAGTGTTTGCTTCATTTTCATTCATTTATTGGGCCAGTATTTGAGAAGATCTGGAAGATTGACATTAATTTATGTTTTGAAATCATTACAATATTCAGGTATACAGAAAAAAAAAACGATTTTTAAAGAACATAAAATTACTGACAATGCGATTATTTTCAAAATCATGTGGTGTTGTGTGCTCGCCCTGGCTATCATGCATTACAGTTTGATCGATGGGATAGATTTTACAGACAACAATTGAGACTTTGATCTCATATCTTATGTTGTGTTTATCGACTCCAGTAACATAATATCAGAAGAAACATGAGCCCAAAAATTCCGTAACTCAAAAATCCAATCTATCTATATCTATTCAACACTTATTAGTAGTTGAATTTGTTGACAGTTCAGATATATTATTTTTTATGTATCCAATAAACAGAACATCATGAGACTTCCTCTTTGCATCGTTCTCCTCATTACTGAGGGTCGTCACTCCCTCGCAGCATCAATCTTTGTTGTACGATTATTCTCCATCTGCTGCGATCCTTGGCCTCGTGAAGAACATCGTGGATCTTGATGTCCAGACAATACCGAATTTGGTTCGACCTTCTCATGGGATTGTGTCCTCTGGGACGTTTGCCCTCTATCTTGTCCGTCACCATCAGCTGCTCAAGATTGTGACCCTCCTTTCGAGCAATGGTCCGAAGAGCTCCAATACTCTACAAATGGAACATCACGTTCACTTCACATTCAACATCACGAGACAAAACTGTATTGGTGGTAGCACCTCTTGTGAGTCCGCGCGGGTGGGTACCACCACCCTGCCTATTTCTGCCGTGAAGCAGTAATGCGTTTCGGTTTGAAGGGTGGGACAGCCGTTGTAACTATACTTGAAACCTTAGAACTTATATCTCAAGGTGGGTGGCGCATTTACGTTGTGGATGTCTATGGGCTCCAGTAACCACTGAACACCAGGTGGGCTGTGAGCTCGTCCACCCATCTAAGCAAAAAAAAATATCAAATGAGTCCAATATTACTTATGCTACAAAAAATGCTTTGTTAAAGCCTTTGCTATGTTGAATCCTCATCGGAAATTATCTAAAATTCTATCGCATATTCAATATGTACATATCGTTGTCGAACTATGAAGGTAACTATCGCATTGGGTATGCATCGCTGACTGTCAGGGCTATATTCTATCTCATACAACCTCATACATATTGATGGACGTGAACAATGTGTGCTGATATCAGCAAATTCAACGAGTTCCATGGGTATTGTTACTAAATTGCGAAGGATTGTTTTATCTTAAATGAGGTCTGTAGACTAATGTTCTGGTTCAAATAAATCGTGATTTATAGAATGGAGTTATTTATTCCTTCCTCTGATGTACACTTTAGGGTTTGCAACGTTTTCTTGTATAATCAATAAGGTATACGGTCCTCAACGCATTAAAATCAATACAGACGCACCATTCAGATTAATTTAAAATGCTTCTCTAAGTGGAGTATTACCAATCGCTGTAGACAACGTAGAAGTAAACAGGATTGTGGTCGGTACGGAAGAATAAGTTTGTTTGACTTTTAAAAAACAATGAAGTTGCTTCATAGCCATTAAAAATGTGGCATGGTTACATCCTGAAGCACTTAGTGGCTACCTGCATCAACTCCGATGTAGACTACTGGGAGAGTAATCAGAGGCCATTACAAAGTTTTCCCTGTATGAGCGCAAGGCTCTGTTCCTATGAAACTCTTTGATGCAAAAGTTTGAAGACTTCAAGTATGTTTATGTCGCAATTAGTCAGTATGAGTATTCTAAACTGAGTTTGTAACATTTTATGAGATACTAAATATATTACCTTCTACAAAAATAAAGGAAAACAATAGTAAAATAAAAAAACAAACGAAAAATATTTCTCATATCTCATATGTAACTATACTGAGACCTTACAACTTATATCTCAAGGTGGGTGGCGCATTTACGTTGTAGATGTCTATGGGCTCCAGTAATCACGTAACACCAGGTGGGCTGTGAGCTCGTCCACACATCTAAGCAATAAAAAAAAAAATGCAATTTACATATCTACTCATAAAATAATATTTGTATAGCTACACGCTTATTGAAATTCCTTCTATTATTATTCAGGATTACAGTTCCGGGTGGCTTTGGTTCTCGTAATCTGTTTATTTTAGTTCAAGCTATCTCCGAAATCCTTTACATAGGTCGCTTCAAACAAACAATAGATACGCACCAAACCTTCAATGTGTACCATATAATCTAATTTGACCCGCACCCGTCTCCGGACATGTCGGCATTAGACTACCAAAAAGGCTGCGAAAACGTACCATCTGTTAGCATTCGAAAACTAATAATAACATGTACCACATATAAAGTTTATAGAATCTGAACGAACCCCAACTTTGGTTTCGTGGAATGGAGAGCATGCGCAGTGAATTCGCCTGTGAACTTTGCCGAAGTGTTTCCTTGCAGTCGCTTGGCGGTACTTTTGACCACCGTACGCCTTCTGTACCGGGCAAGTATTCGCCCGAACCGACTTAACCATTTGTAACGACCGGGTTTTATATATGTAAGCATTAATAAAAAGTAGCAAAGCATGTTTCTGTGTGTTTAGAAAAGTTGACAAAGTAAAACCCCTCCAGAATTAGGTGTACCTGTGATTCTTTTTATGAGGGTAAGTAATTCGTGTAGTATATTCCTAAAATTCGAAATTGGTAAGCATTCAAATTTACCTTAGTGCATGATAAGAATATCCCATGTATGCTTGTGTACCCCGACCCGCTAATTTTGTCTAGAGACATTTTTAATTAACTTAAATAATATAATACCAAAAGCTACGCAACAAATTTAACAACAGCTACAGAATTTTTTCTTAAATGAGCTCACGGATCATCTGGTTTTCAAAAAATAAAATTATAGTTAAAGCCCTTAGACATCTCAATACGAAAGCCGCCATCTACCTTGAGGTATGAGGCCTAAATCTCAATTTTATAGTACAACGGCGTCAAACAGGAAGTGACTACTGCTTCATGAAACTGTTGGCAGGATGGTATTACCACGTAATACAGCGTAAAAATATGGCTCACGACCGGTAATTGAGTATACAAATTAAAATTTTTGCGGACTTGTTTTTTTTTAAATATACGATATTATTGCATCATCATGGAGGTCATAGGTGAACTTACGTTAAGTACGCATTTAATTAGGATAATTGCTTTCTGGGGGATTTCAAACCAATATAGCTCGATACGAGCACACTATACGACTTATTATTTTATGATTATTATTCTACTTTTATTTATTTAAAATCTTATTATTTACGCAATATTTTTTAAAAAAGATATTAAATATACAATTTTTTAAAACACCTTCTAAGAATAGATTGCCGCTGATGACGGTGTCTACGACACAAGCCACCAGTGGTTAAGACTCCAGAGTGAGAATCATACTAAACAACGCGTAGTATCGTGGATAACTGCCTTCTGTATCAGGCCCCTAACCCAGCTGGATAACGAAAGTTTTTAAGATTCTGATCGAAACTTTTCGCTCTTAAACCGAGTATCGATACAACTATTGGAACAATAATGGTAGAATAATCATGCCACATCAGGTGGGTTGTGAGCTCGTCCACCCACGTAAGCAAAAAAAAAACAAAAAAAATAACATGGCGGTAATCTCGTGGGCCGGGTCTAAATATTTTATTAATTTGTCCTTTTCTGCCTTCACGAGGTTCTCGACATGAGTTATAATGATATCAACCAACACTGCTGGACTATTATTATTATTTATTTATATTTACTTAAAATCTTATTAATTACATAATATTTTTTGAAAAAGATATTAAATATACTTTTTTTTTAAAAACACTATATAAAAATAGATTGCCGCTGATGGCGGTGTCTCCGACACAAGCCACCAGTGGTTAGGACTCCAGAGTGAGAAACCTCCTCATTGTGAGATGCAGTATCGAGGATAACTGCTTTCTGTATTAGGCCCCTAACCCAGCTGGATAACGAAAGTTTGTTATTATTATTATTATTACATATTATTATTATATTATTTAGGCCACGGCGAATAAAGTTAAAAGTTCGAATAATTTTATGTTTGCATCTACTTTAAAAATAAAATATCCAAGCAATCGACAAAGATGCTTTAAGAATATTAAACTATTCAGGAGCAAACACATTTAGATTAGTTTTCGAATAACCCTATCCATTTAAATTAATTCCATTTATTTTCAAAGTTTTTCTTTCCAAAAGCAGAAAGTCCGTTTGAAAAGAAAAATACGTATTTCCTTTGAACTGTGTAATGGAGTGGGGTTTGCGGTAAAAAGGAAGCTAATTCTTTACCCTGACTTGCAAATGAACTACGTCTCAGGGGTATTTACGATTAACGAGGATATTCAGCCTTCCAGAATTTCAGGGGTTCTAGGTAACCAAACACGCAATAACAGTGTGCTTAGTGCGAGTTTTTTAACGTTTTCGATAGCGTAAAAGTTAACCCTAATGGCAAACGTAGGCAAACGATCCCATTCCATACCGTGAGTTAACTTTTACGCTATCGAGAACGTTAAAAAACTCGCATTGAGCACACAAGTGTGAATTCAATAAATTACGCCTAAATATATTATTATATGAATTCTATATACATCCATTATTATTTTTCAAATTATTATTATGTTCTTCGTTTGGTAAATGTTACATTTTTGTTATGATCGGTAAATCTAGATTTTAATTGAGATTTAAAAGCCGAAGTTAGACTCGGGGATGCTATGTTTCCTATTGAACTAGATCGAAATATTCGTAAACTCAAGATTTGTGATCGTCCGTAAGCGTTCGGTCGGATAAGACACCTGGTAAAAACTCATCAGCTTATTTTGTTTTTCAAAATAAATACGTTAGCTTTGAATAATAAAAATCACATTCGCTAAATCTATAAATTTATGTAATTACTAATGGTGGAGTGCGTTGTTAGCAAGTACAAAATCAAATGGCCCGTAGGTCGTTACGACAGGTGAATTACAATAAATACTTTGTCTTTATGTCCAACAATTGGTCGTGGTATTCTTCTAATCTCTTTGAGTAACCACATAATACATAGTGCATAATTGGCTCGTTGACTTTATAATAATAACTAGCTTTTGCCCGCGACTTCGTCCGCGTGGAATAGTTCACAAATAATGCTTTATTTTAGAACAAATTTAGTTAGCATAAAAAACGTTATAGTGAGCCAACCTTAACATATAGACATATGCTGTCGCGGACTTTTTTTTGGATCTTTTAAAGGGAAACAATTCTCTCATACATTACTTTAGCGAAACTTTAACTGTTTCCGCAGCACACGTAGTGGAAGCTCTCAAAAGGGAAAAAAACCCCGATTTTGAAACATTCTTTATTGGTGCTCCGCCTACAATGGTCTTAGCGTGATGTTATATAGTCTGTAGCCTTCATCGGTAAATGGGCTATCTAACACTGAAATAATTTTTCAAATCGTACCAGTAGTTCCTGAGATTAGCGCGTTCAAACAAACAAACTCTTCAGCTTTATAATATTAGTATAGATAAAAAATAAATAGCTGGGAACAAATCACGCATGGTCATCCCACTCCAATTTAAGATTGCCTGTGTTATCAATACCGGAGACTGACATTCATATCTATGTTGCAATATATAAATATATAGCTAATAAACACACAGACAAAGAGCAAACACACCTGTTCCTTACACGAATGTTTGCCCGATCTGGGAATCGAACCCACAACCCTTGGCGCAACATTCAGGGGCGCTATCTACTGCACTACTAAGCCAATCACCACGTTATCTACCGTAATAATAACAATTACATTTTCGTAAATATCATCATGTGTCGTCACGTGCTCTACTAATGACAGAGACGCAGAAAACAAGTTCTTAGGAGCCAATAATAATAAAAATAAGTTTGAAAAGCGGTCTGTAATATATTTTTGGTCATTGTCTAATTCGAAAAAAAAAAAACCCTTATTAAGGTAGGAATAGCGCCATTTCTTATTTGACAGAAAACGAATTGAAACTCATCAAGCTGCGACATTTCCGTCCATTACTAGCTAGCTAGTCGTTAGAAGTCAGAGTCATCTAATTGAGCTATTCAATACGATTTAGGTGGTAACTGAATGAGATATAGTGTCATTTATTGCCGATAATGCCTTTGTAAATCAAATATTGGAGCGAATTTTTTTATTGAAGACTTTTATATGCAAAATTTTAGCTACATCGAAAATTGCAATAACGTTGATAGTTGTTTGAAGCTTAAAATAATCTACTTTTGCAGTATAAACCTAAGAATGTAATGGTTTTACTTAAATTATAAAGTATCCGTGAACACTATCTATGCTTTTCATTTGATCGTTTTAAATCGGTTCAGGTTAAAAAAAGATTTAGTTCAAATTTAAAACATATTTGAATAAAAGGACTGTTTTCATGGTATGAAATATTCGTAGACCCCGGAACTTTTGCGGAATAAACGTACATGTAATACGTTTAATGTTTATTATTCATAAAAACCTTGCGTTGCCTCTGCATTGAGATTTTTTAAGGCGGTATTTTTTCTGAAAATTAATTTACATGTACTGCCTTGTTAATATATTCAAATTGCTGACCGCTTGACCATTTATTGTTGGGAGTTTCTCTTGTTAGGTCTAATGTTAAAATGTCCTCTTAAGTTGAGCCCCGTGAGCTCACCTGCCATTTCACAGGGAGTTAGAATTGCTCAGCAGGCTACCAACGATTGGGTAGTAAGGGTAAATCGAGAGCTTTTACGAATATATTTCGCCATTATGCACGTTTCGGTTTGAATAAAGGGACACAGCCGATACAATAGAGATTTTGCCTTAAAACTCAGGGGAGCGGTATTCACATTGCGATGTCTATATGCCACTAACTATTTCACACCAGCGAACCGTAATATCATCTGTCCATCTCGGACTATAGAACAAAAAGTATTATCATTAATATGAAATGTTCGATTCGATTTGACCCAACAAAAAAAACGTCTCGTCATTATAAAAATCGTCGTCTATATTCTAAAGTAAATAAGATAAATACGTATTTCGTCTTACAAGTTCCAATACGTCTAAATGCACTCGCGAGGGTTGATTACCTTCGTTCCATCTCTCACTTAAAGGAAAACATCGTATTAACTAACAAATTTATGTGTATTAACTAAACATCCATTCGCCTTTTCTCTTCCCATCTACACATCCTATTCCTCTCATTATAGACATGGAGCATGATTATAATGATCCTTACATTTTGTTCCTACAATAATACCAAGAAAAGCTATAGGGAATCATTAGACCAGGCTAGTAATAAACTAAGCTAATTACAGACAAAAAACTTATTTGTGAAAACAATTCATGAGAGGAGAAAATATTTTGTTAAGAGATTTTTTTACCTTGTAGTCGGTGGCAAATTGTACTAGTACATATATTGGCCCATATGCAGAGGTTTTTGAGAACCGGACTACGTGCCAATTTTTAATTGGAGTTGTCGATATTCATCTGTCAACGTGAGTCGCCTGTCCACTGTTCTTCTATTTTTATTTCAACAGCTTTCAATCCAATCCTAAAATGTCAGTTCACTGGTATAAATCGATTTAACTTTCAGAGGCCAATTTTTAAAACTACCGTAGAATTTTTGTC